CAGTGCTGCATCTCCAGCTGCTGCCGCCCCTGCTGTGGTGGTTCCAGCTGTGGTGGATCCAGCTGCTGCCGCCCCACTTGCTGCGTGTCCAGCTGCTGCAGACCCACTTGCTGCATCTCCAGCTGCTGCCGCCCCTGCTGTGGTGGTTCCAGCTGTGGTGGATCCAGCTGCTGCCGCCCCACTTGCTGCGTGTCCAGCTGCTGCAGACCCACTTGCTGCATCTCCAGCTGCTGCCGCCCCTGCTGTGGTGGTTCCAGCTGTGGTGGATCCAGCTGCTGCCGCCCCACTTGCTGCGTGTCCAGCTGCTGCAGACCCACTTGCTGCATCTCCAGCTGCTGCCGCCCCTGCTGTGGTGGTGCCAGCTGTGGTGGATCCAGCTGCTGCCGCCCCACCTGCTGCATCTCTAGCTGCTGCAGACCTTCCTGCTGCCAGTCCCCCTGCTGCCGTCCTTCCTGCTCTGTGTCCAGCTGCTGCAGGCCCCAGTGCTGCATCTCCACCTGCTGCCGCCCCATCTGCTGCCAGACCACCTGCTGCAGGACCACCTGCTGCCGCCCAGCATGCTCCAGTGCTTCTTGCTGCTGAGCACTCTCTCCCAGGCTCCTGTTCTTCATCCACCAACATTCCTGATGGAGGCCATCTGGGAGCAGAACCCTGAAAGGCCCATCCGAAAGCCTCTGCTCCAGCTGAAATTGGTTTAGGCTTCCAAATATATAGCCCGACTCCTGCCTGCTTACTATCTCTTTCTCTGAAATGAATGCAAGTTTGAATTTCCTCTGAAATCTCTAAACTCTCCTTAACCCCACAGGACCCTTTGCTGTCTGTCACAGTTTCAAAAATGGAGATTTTCCTATATCTTAATAAACCTCAGTTTTCCAGCTACTAAAATATAAATCCATTGTGTCTGCTTTCTTCTCTTTCTCAAATGTCCATCATTCCTCACATTGGTGCTCCTCTCTAAATTAAGAACACACTAGATCAGGGTGCCCGCTCCGTTTCCTCTGCACCCTTCTCCTAACACACAGAGATGGTTTCAGGGACCGAGCACACTCAGCTCACTTCCTGAAGACTTTCTCTGATAGAAGAGGAAGCTTTGGGCAGGAGAGTTGAAGCCCTGGGACACAGCTCAAGCTGTGAGAGGGAGGGATGAGCGCATGCTGTTGCTTGCTTCCCCTTGAATGCACATGTGTGCATCCATTGTCCCAGAGGCAGTGAGAGAGGCTTGAAGCCCTGCTGCCTCCAGGGCTGTCCTGCTCTTTAGAGCACTCTGCTGGCCTCCCTCCCACACTCAGTCACTTCTCTAGGTCCTCACAACACATTATGGGATCATTTTCCATGTGAACTTCTTTCTTTCCAACTCCTGTTCTGTGTCTGCTTCTGAGGGCACATGGACAAACATACTCATGTTTTAGAGCACTCTGCTGGCCTCCCTCCCACACTCAGTCACTTCTCTAGGTCCTCACAACACATTATGGGATCATTTTCCATGTGAACTTCTTTCTTTCCAACTCCTGTTCTGTGTCTGCTTCTGAGGGCACATGGACAAACATACTCATGTACAGTCTCAATATTCTGCCAGGCAACACACTTCCTATGCAATATGCAGAAGTTGCCATGGTATCGAGTCAACTATGCCTTTGATCTCGGCTGAAGTCTTCTCATATGTCACTCTGTCTTCCCCATTTCACACGATATTGGCTGTGCTAGCTATCTTCAATACTGTGTAGTTTTTTATTTTAAATTCTGCTATTCCCATATTTAATATTACAAAGTAATAGATTTCCCCATCATTTAGGTATGCATTCATAGAACTTACGTATTACCTACAGCTGTCCACTTCCCAGGTCTACTTTAGATTCTCTATTATCATTTTATACTTTTCTTTTGTGAGTGCTACATGTGTTCATGTGTATATACACATATACATATGTATATTGTACATATATTGTACATATACTACACATATAAGAGAAGACATCTGGTTTTTCTGAGTCTGGCTAATTTTGTTTAACAGGTCCTTCTGTTTTCCTGCAAACGGCATGGCTGTATTCTCAATACCTGAATAACTCTCCATCCTGCACATGCGTCCCCCTTCACCTGCCCTTTTATGCATAGATAAGCACTTAGGCTGTTTCCATGATTGCATTGTGACTAGCACTACAAATACCATGGATATATAGGGGTTTCTTCTGTATCGTACCGTCTGTTCTTCAGGCCCAATCTGAGGAACAGCAAGGCTAGACCCTCTGGTAGTTTTATTATACTTTTGTGGAAACACCATGCTTGTTTTCCTAGCGGCTGCACAATTTATACATGTTCTTTACCCCCACTTTGAATATCCTTGAGTGTGTATTGTCTGCTTTTGTTCACTGAACATTGTAAAATGGAATCTCAGTACAATTTTGGTGTTTTCATAGTGATTGAACACATGAAGCTTTTTTTTCAGATCCGACAAAAGCAACATCATCAAGATCATGAGTCAATATGGTGTTTCAGAGGCGTGCAGAAGCCGACATTCAACTGAAATGTGTTGTGAGTGAGAGAATTTGCACAGTCCTGAACCAAGATAGAAATGTACAGTGCTGTGGGCTGCACACAGTCTGAACATGCCTCTGCCTCTCCTTACTCAGCTATTTTAAAGTTTCCATTGTCCAGTCCATTTTCCACATCTCATACCAGAGACTGAAATTAGTTCTCATCCAAAACTGTGTGTTCACCACATCAGCTCCTGGTGACTGCTGTCTGTCACAACCCACCTGCTTTTTGTGGAGATGAGCTCATGAGTCCTGCAGACACACAGTAGGAATACGTTACACATTTTTATGCCTTTAAAGGCATCTCTAATATCTGATATCTATCTTCTAGGTCACCTGAGAAATGGTGAGGAGGGTTAGGTAGCTCCAAGTGCTTTGTGTGATTCTTAGTATGTTAGCAGTTCTTACTCTACAGCTCAGGTGTAGAAGGTGCTGGATTTCATGTTTATGAACTCGGTAGATGGCTTTCGTGCACATCTGAAGATAGAGTAGACAGATATAAAAAATGAGCTGGAGAATATTCATTTATTTTGTCATCATCACTAAAGACTTTAATGAAGGCCATGTTGGCATTAGTTCTCAGGAAAAACTGTATCTACCACATCAGCTAAGGTTGATAAGTCATGTATAATTCACTGTTATCTGTCATGACAAATCTGCTTTTGGTGGAGATGAACTTCTGTGTCCTGTAGACAGGTGATAGATTTACATCCTACACATTTTATACTTTTGAAGGAATCTCTAATATCTGACACACATCCTCTAGGTCACCTGGGGAATGCTGTGGAGGGCAAGGTAACTTCAAGTGCTTTGTGTGCCTTGTTACATAATACTTGTTACTCCTTAGCTCAGGATTAGAAGGTGCTGAATTTCCACTTTATGAACTGGGTAAATGACCCTCATGCACATCTACACATCTACAGATAGAGTGGACAGGCTAGAAGAATGACCTGGAGAAGACATCCTTTTTTTCTCATCGTCACTGCAGACTTTAAAGGGGACCATGTTGGCATTTCTATACCCAGTTGTCAGTGTCACTCTGCTCTGCTAGCCAATGGTGTCCAAATATATGTGTATTTATTTCCTTTGAATAAATGATTATAGATTCCTTTAGATATGGCTTCTAGTTATGACTAGAAATTCTTACTATCTATACTTGCTAAGATTCTGTAACCTATAGAACTGGCCTTTTTAGAGTTGATGTGTCATAGGTCTTTTTGCTATATCTGGATTGGATTCTGGCAGGAAGATGGTTACTTCTCTTAGAAACAACTGATCTCAGCCCTTTACACACCTAATTTTGAGCTCTTTTTGATATACATATGTATATACATTATATTAGTTACTTTTCTGTTGCTGTAACCAAGGGAACATATAAGAAGAGCTTATTTAGCTTATGGTTCCAAAGGGGCAAGAATCCAGTGTGGCAGCAGAGGTGACAGAGAGAGGAGTACTCACATCTTCAAGCAGGCAAAGGAAGCAGAGAGCAACTGGAAATCTGGCAAGGCATAAGAACCCTCAAAGCCCGCCCCAGTGACTCACTTCCTTTAGCATGGCCACAGCATCTAAGACTTCCCAAAGCAGCGCCACCAACTAGGGACAAAATGTCCAAACATTTGGAGCCTAAGGGGGCAATTCTTGGTCAAACCAGCACATACACATACCCCAATACAGACATAGAGATAGACAACATGAAGTTCTGCTCATACTAGTTTTATCTATCCATATCCTGTTATGAGGAACACCAGATGCTCTTACTGACATCCACAAGTCCCTGTGAGTTACATGCTTCTCTGCCTCAGTTGATGTCCTTAACTTGTTGTCCATCCATAATTGTACCCAAATTTATTCCTCTAGTTAAGTGGCTCCACATGGCCCTTTGTCTATGGTACTATCATTGCCATCTTCCCTAGAGAGCTAAGTTCTGCAACAGGGACATGTCTTAATGGCCTCCCTGTCCTCATGCCTATGGTCTTTCACATTCAAGCTTTCTGTGCCCACCTGACCCATTCAGAATGAGCCATCAGACTAACATACCTTTATCCCCCCAGGGTCAGGAGAAGCAATGATAAGCAAGAATATGATACTCGGAGTAGGCAAGATGTGCCACAAGATGACACTGAACCATGTAGCATGAGGACAAAGAATATCAGATGACTGTGCACTTGGAAGAAATTATAACTAGAAAGCCACTTAGGAGATGGTTCAGCGAGAGCTGACCATGAATCCTAACACACCAGGAAAAGGAAGTCTTGTTTTTTTTCTGACTTGAGAATATAATCAGGAAAAGAGTCTTGCCTAATTTGATAATCATCTATTTACTAACATATACAATAATGTGGAAAGAATGTTTCACAGGAGAGCAGCAGCCCCTTAGCAGGGTATAAAAGGGGATGTGGAGCAGGGAGACTTCCAAACCTTCCAAACAACGTTTTTGAAAACCACCAAGAACTAATACCCTCCGACACCATGGTCAGCTCCTGTTGTGGCTCTGTCTGCTCTGAGCAGGGCTATGGCCAAGGCACCTGCCAGGAGAGCTGCTGCCAGCCCAGCTGCTGCCAGACCACCTGCTGCACGCCCACCTGCTGCCGGCCCAGCTGCTGTGTGTCCAGCTGCTGCAGGCCCCAGTGCTGCCAGTCTGTGTGCTGCCAGCCCAGTTGCGGCCGCCCCAGCTGCTGCCGCCCAACTTGCTGTGTGTCCAGCTGCTGCCACCCCAGCTGCGGTGTGTCTAGTTGCTGTAGCCCTTGCTGTAGTGATTCCAGTGGTTGCGGATCCAGCTGCTGCCGCCCCTCTTGTTGCATTTCCAGCTGCTGCCGCCCTTCCTGCTGTGTGTCCAGCTGCTGCAGGCCCCAGTGCTCCATCTCCAGCTGCTGCCGCCCTGCTTGCTGCATCTCTAGCTGCTTCTGCCCCACCTGTTGCCAGCCCACCTGCTGCCGCCCCAGCTATTGTGTGTCCAGCTGCTGCAGGCCCCAGTGCTGCATCCCCAGCTGCTGCCGTCCCACCTGCTGTCAGACCACCTGTTGCAGGACCACCTGCTGCCGCCCCAGCTGCTGTGTGTCCAGTTGCTGCCGCCCAGAATGCTCCAGTAGTTCTTGCTGCTGAGCACTCTCTCCCACATTCTCCTGTTCTTCATCAACCAGATTTCTTGAAGTAGATCATCTGTGAGTGCAACCTTGAAACGCCTACTGTAAAACCTCGCTTTGAACTTGGTTTTTGCCTCCAAATGTCCTGCTTCCTCTCCAGCCACAATACTATCTCTCTGTCTCCCAAATAAATATAGATTTGAATTTTCTCTGTATCTATCATGTTATCTCCATGTTGATATTTATTTTCTGTTATATTTCTATAGTGAAGATATTTCTCCTCAAATAAATCTCGGTTTAAGTATCCAAATGCAAAGGTGCTCCATCTCTTTATTTCTCCGGGAATTGTTCTCATCTCTCAGCTCTTTTTAGCAGCTCTCTAAAGAATGAAAAGACCACAACAGATGATTTTACCTGTGCTATGTTTCCTCCACACCCTTATTCTAATACAGGAGGACGCTTTCATGGTCTAAGCATGTGGAACTCTCTTCTAGGGGAAGAGAGCGCCAGGGGAAGTGCTTGGTTGGAGAGACGAAGCCCCTGGGCACAGAGCACAAGCAGAGAGTGAGTTGGTGAACACATGCTCTCACTGGGGTCCTCTCACTGAACAAGTCTAATTCTGGAGGTCCTGAAGTCCTGAGTGGGAACGGAGGCCAGATCCACCCGGGAGTGTCCAGTTCCTGTGTGCTCTGCAGGGCCTTCTTTTCTCACCCAGCTCATCTCACATGCAAACTGCCTCATGTCAGACCTCTGTCTTCTTCATCTCAACGTTGCTGACCTAACACACGTTTTTCGCACACATGGACTGATATCACCTCTGTATTTGCTATCCGTTTAAATGTAAATCTTCTGTTCACTTTGCTCGTTCTTCTTTAGGAATGTTTACACTACTATTTTCTCTATTAATTTTTATTTATTCTCTATTTTTTCACCATATTGTGTCTGAGCCCTAGGGAACAATGGTCATGTTAGTAAACGTCTGAAGGAGGGTGTGTTTAAAGAGGTGCCGCTTTATGGTATTTGTCTAAATAGGATTCACTGAAAGTCCGAATGACTTTCTTGAGACAAAGTGACTGGACCTTTGCTCTGCTGCTCAGCCATGACTAGCTTTGGCTACCATAGAGCAGAAGAAAAATGTACAAGCAGCAGGTACCTCTTACTGGTGTCGCCTCCATCCTTTGAAGAGCAGGGCAGGTGAACAACAAGCCACTTGCACAGCATGTAGACCGTGCATCTTCTTCTTCCTTTGGACATTCCAGTGATCTAAAGATCAAAGATGATTATCAGCGTTTCCTTCAATAGTGTTCACCAGCTTTCACATTCAGGATCCTTTCCTGCATTATTTAGACACCATCAATTGTACTTGAATTATTTTTGGATGCTTCTGTTTGATTTTATTTTCTTCAGTTTTCTTATTGAGTTCCTGTGTATTTTATGTAATATATCTTAAGCAAATTTAGACCCCTTCCTCCTTCCCCCCTCCTCACCCCCAATAGACCCTCCCTGCCAGATTCCAAGCATTCTGTCATATATGTTAAGTCCTATTTGATCCAGAATTTGTATCCAGATGTCCTTTGCTGCAAGTTCATCCACTGGAGTCTGGTCAGCCTATCTAGAGTTCCCCCCTTAAAAAATAACCTCACGCCTTGGTAATCATTTGTCAATAATTCCTTGGCTAGGGGGCCTGCTGCCCATTTTCCCTGTTCTATGCTGGGTTTTTGTCTGATTGAGTCAGCCTGGATCTTGTGCATGCTGTCACCATTGCTGCAAGTTCATATGAGCAAGTCCCCAGTGGCCTGAAAGCCTCTGTTTCCTTACATTCGTGCACCAGCCCTGGCTCTTAGACTATTTCCACCCCTCCTCCACAATGATGTATGAGGGTTAGTTTAGGAGTCCTATCCGGAGATACAGGCTCTACAGTCTCTTATTCTCTAAAATTTAGTCATTTGTGGCCTTCTGGGCTTCTATTTTAATTTAATATTGTGTGTGTGTGTGTGTGTGTGTGTGTGTGTGTGTGCATGTTACCAAAAGTTAAAAAGAGGTGATTCTCGACTTTAGATGCCCATTAAAATTATCTGAGGAGTTTTCACAACTTTTGAAGCCCAGGCACAGCCCCAGGTCAATTAAACCAAATTTGTTTGGGGCAATAACAAGACATTGTATAGTCAGCATCTCAGATGATACTACCAGACAGACAGTTGTGAGAACCATTACTCTGGGGCCTGCGAGTCTATTCCTTGGTCTACAGCAGAAATGTTCTCTGTCCTTGCAGCTTGGGTGAAAGCTTTTCTTACCCTCCTTAAATTATATGGAAACATCTCTACTAATATTCAAAACACACCCATAAGGACTCCCTGTAGTTCCTGAGTATAATTTAACTCTTCCATGTTTTCCAGCTTTGCAAATGCAAGTCTATGAACTAAAAGGCTATAAATCAAGTGTTTGGTTAAGCAAGTTAATATAACATCCTGCAAGGAAATTAGTCTTTAAATGCTCTTAAAGAAATTAAGTTTTTAAAAGTACTTCAAGTGAGCCTCTATACCTGACTCTGGGCCTCTTTTCTATTTATTTGAAGTGTCTGAATTTTTAAAAAATTTTATCCAACAGATGTGCTAAATTACATCTTCCCTTGAAGATGGGATTTAGTCACTTTTCTGACTAGCAGTTTGTCAAAAGCTGGCCACCTGTAGGTGCCTAAAGAGATTACAAACTGAAAATACTGAGCTCTATGCCAATCCCAACTTTCACAACTCAACATTTAAAAACATTAGCTGTTTCTAAAAAAGAAACTAAAAATTAAGTTTATCATCACAGGCTGACCAAGTCATTTCAGCTTCCTCAGGGTCTCCTTTGTTTTTGTTTGGAAAACTGCATTCTGGGAATTCCCTCAGTCCTGGACAATCAGGGACAGTTTGTCACGCTGGAATGCACCCAGTTAGGAACAGCACCAATGAAGTGTTGCTGTTCGTTGGCTCTGAATGAACTAGTGATTTGTGCATTATCATAGCAAATCCCACAGGCCTGTGCCAAGCAAAAAAGGCCAGAAAGAAAAGAAATCATACCATGTATCATTCGTTTGAATTCTAGATCAAAACTAATCTATGGTGCAAGTTATGAGAGCACTGAACACCTCTGAGTTGGTAGTTATTTCACTGAAGTGACATTGGGGACCTTCTGGAATAATGTAACTCTTCCTTATTTTCATAGGAGTGGGAGTTACTTGGATGCATGAATTTACCGAAAATCATTAAAGAGTACAAAGAGTATAAAATTGTATACTTCAATATATAAATTTGATTTAATAATGAAAATGTAAAAACTAATTAGAAATGTTAATTTAGGAAGAAGTCTACCAAACTGCCAGGTTTACTATTTGCTTTAAGCACAACTATTTCAGTGAAATGACATTACTATGAGTTTCTTTGATGCTACTTCATCATAATCTATTACATGCATGTGTGTGTGTGTGTGTGTGTGTGTGTGTGTGTGTTCATCATAGTCACTTAGTCACTTGTACATTCTCTTCTGCAAGGCTGAACAGTGTGACTAGAAGTCAAAGTGTGGTCCTTGGGCCTTGAGCCTCAAGCCATCTGGGCACTTGCTAGAAATATAGACCCTGAAGTTCCTCCAGCAATCAGAAATTCTTGGATTAGACCCAGAAATTTGCATATTCACAAGTCCTCCAGACACTCAGATTAGACTATCACTGATACAGGCTAAGAGAAATAGTGATTCAGTAATATGGATCTTGCTAAAACCCACTGATATCAGATTGATCCATAGCATTTGTGTGCAAATTCTGCACTCTGGAAATAAGTTCAGAAGAGACACACATTCTAGTTGTTCAATACCTTTTGCTCCACTGAATAAAAACTTTCAACTTAATGAGACTCTGTCTCAGAATAAAAAGTAAAAGGAAGATAGGAGATACACTTCTGTGGTAAAGTGTTTGTCTTGCAATAAGTGAGACCCTGCATTCAATTCCCAATGTCAGTTTAGAAGAAAGAAAGAAAGAAAGAAAGAAAGAAAGAAAGAAAGAAAGAAAGAAAGAAAGAAAGAAAGAAAGAAAGAGAAAAAAGAAAGAAAGGAAGGAAGGAAGGAAGGAAGGAAGGAAGGGAGAGAAAGACAGACAGAGAGAGAAAGAAAGAGAAAGAAGGAAAGACAGAGAGAGAGAAAGAGAGAGGGAATGAGGAAGGAAGGAAATAGGCTATTGCCATAATACCAACTATACAGATAAATTATTTGCCAGTATTTAATGTTATGAAACACAATACAAAAATCCAAAACATCTAGCAAAGCCCATTCCAGCTGTACAGAGGTCATTAACGCCACACATACGTAGAGCAGCATCTTTCCTCATTGCTGAAAAATGACCCATACTGTCAGAACCCTTTCCCTTTGTTCCAAAAGATGCCACACTCGTGGGCTTCATCCCCACTGGCTAGTGAAGAAATGCATAATAAGAAATATGGCTGACCAGCTAGCATTATACTAAAAGACACATGTGGAGAAAGGGATCACTAATCTCAAATGTAGTGCCTCGCTTGGCAGCCCTTTGTCAGGGAGATGAGAACAGCACACCCTAGAAGCAATCTGAACCAAATGTCAGTTAGGAAGAAGCCAGGGCAGTAGAATTTATTGCAACTGGACAAGAAAATCTTTCTAATAAATTAAACCATTAAGTGGAAAAACATTATTAAACAAACTGATAATTATCTAGTCAGTGAATTTAAAAAAGGAAAACGAATGGTGTGAGAGACCCCTCAACTCCGGAACCTCATTCTCTTGGATACCCTTCCAGGTCCTCTGCCCACCGACACCATGGTCAGCTCCTGTTGTGGCTCTGTCTGCTCTGAGCAGGGCTGTGGTCAAGGCTGCTGCCAGGAGAGCTGCTACCAGCCCAGCTGCTGCCAGCCCAGCTGCTGCCGGCCCAGCTGCTGTGTGCCCAGCTGCTGCAGGCCCCAGTGCTGCCAGTCTACGTGCTGCAAGCCCACCTGCTGCTGCCCCACTTGCTGCATCTCCAGCTGCTGCAGACCTATCTGCTGCCAGACCACCTGCCACAGACTCACCGGCTGCAGCTGCTGTGTGGCCAGGTGTTGCTGCCCTGCTGCTGCCTGTGTCCATCTGCAGCGTGATTCCATCTCCTGTCACACCACTTAGTATCACCCAGCCCGTGTCATCTCTGCCTGCCCCCACCCCTTACACTGTGCCTCTCCTTGCTGCTGATCTGTCCTTGTTATATTTGTCACACATGGATTTCTTCACTAGCCACATAAAATTCATTATAATCACTCAGTGGCTAGAAAAAGTGGCCCTCCAGCTGCTAACTCCTCCTCTGATGCAACATGCAGACTTGAGTTCAGTTCCTATGGGAAACAACAAGTGTAAATACAACTGCTGAAATATTTTAACCAAACCCCGGTACGTCTATTTTTAGGCAAGGAATATCTTCATTATGATGGCATGCTATTTATGATAATCTCATAAGCATTGTTTCCAAATGTGGTCTCAATAGACAGCTCTTTGCCTGTTACTAAAAGCTCCCAATTCACTAGTGATTTGATCTCATGTATGGATGCATACACACATGTGTATATCTGTCATTTCATGCCAAGACCAGTTTTCTTACCACAAATGCAGTGTTTATTGGGTGTGTTTAAAAGCAAGGACTCTTCCTGTCACCTGGGTTGGAGTTAGGACAGCACTAGGCATTTACAGTGTTATGTGGAGGTTATTGAGGTCTTCAGACTTCAGACTTTCTCTGTAAAATAGGGATAATACATTATACACTTCAAAGATTTAAAGACTTCTTGCATGAAATATATTTATCACAGGGTCTGGCATATAATATAGGCTGTTGATAAATGTAATTTTTACTGTAGTTGAAATGCTACCTAAGACTAAAATAACATCTTGGCATAATGCTCTCTTTGAGACTATCAGGGAATTTTACATAACTCTCACTGCCTTCTAAATTTCAGTTTGGCATATGTCTCAAGGGTCCCTTAAGGTTTGAGTGAATCCAACATCACGAAGTCTTCTAAAGTCCCCGACTATATTTCATCTTCAATGTTAGATTATTGGTTACATGAATTCTGAGCATCTTTTCTTCCTTTCTTCTTTCTTTATTTCCTGTCTAAACATATGACTCCTTTTCAGAATACAAAGTTTTCCTTTTAAGTCAAAAATCTCTGGAAACTTATGAACTTCATGGCAATTTTCTCATGAAAACCTAAAACTTTCATTAGTAGAGGCTCAAATTTTAGTATCTCCAGAGAGAAACTCCTTCGGACTATCACATTGCTGAGGCATCTCCATTTTCTTGGTCACTAGATTCTCTCATCTGGAATGCTCATCATCTTCTTGGCCTTTCTTAAGATGACTAGGGCTGGGTATTTCTTGGACACTCAATATTCTCACCACCCAAACTCAAAATGATCCTCTTTAGCTTGGAAAACTCTTCACAATGTATACGCAGTATCATGTTTACATCAATATGAGGGTTTGTATGTGTTAAAATATATTAAAATATTTTAAGCTCAAAGTTTCTATGCATACTACATTAGTGGTATTGTATTTACAAATAAAAATACAACTAAGCATTAATTTTTTCTTCGAAAATTTAAAGTTTTAAAATGTCAAGAAACAAAATGAAGAAAAGTTGACATGAAGTGAGTTTCATCTCAACACTATCGTCACATTTTTCAAATTTCACAGAAATGTCTTTCAGACATTTTTGGCTTTAGCCCTTTTCCATTTCTTCTAAACTGCTCTATACAATATAAACCTGTCTTTTCATCCACCAGAATTAGTTAAAATGTTCTAGATGCTGTTTGACAGCTGCTAATTATAGGATGCAAAGTTCTAGTTTTAACTGGATGCTTTATTAGCTACAACTAAATCAGAATAGTTTTATATGGTCTTTTCAATATTAAAGAATATGAGGCATATAGTTTCCTACTTTTACAAGCGCAGGAATGAGATGGTACCCTGGATCTGTGCAATAGGAGGTATCAGGAGAATTAAGAGACTGCTCAGTACTCAAGGCTCATAATGGCCAGGAGCAGAATGGAAGGCCTGTGTGATGTCTGGGTGGAATGGTCATAGGGCCACATGTAAAACTTCTTTGATTTAATATGCAAACATGTAGCAACTTCATTCAGGGAAAGTCATAACACTCTAAAAATTCCCAAAGTGACACTGGAGAAGTTGGGGTAGAGAAAGTCAAGGCAGACATGAAATTATGAATGGGAAAAGTGTGACTGGAAGAATTATTTTGTGGACACATCAGTTTTGCATAAATAAATGTGTGGTAAGGATGGGTTTTAAGTAAATAAAATGTTAACTACACCTTGATTTTATTCCGTTTAATTTGGTCATGTAAATATGTAATTTTGGAATTGTTCAAGATCATCTATGTAATAAATACCAAGTAATAAAGAATTACAGACGGGTAAGAAAAGGCTAATTCTGATTAGTAACTGAAAAAGGAGTTTTAAATCTCTTCAGCTCCCTTTTACTAGCCCATTTGTCCAAAATGTAAGGTAGACAGTCTCTAAGGGTTCACAGCAGACTCTCAGTGAACAAATGTAGGCGCCTATGGTTGCTTCACTGGACCTAAAAACTTTCTAAAACTCTCAAGCCTATTGAGACTACTGTGTCAGTAGAGCTCAGCCAAGTGATAGTTACATCCTCATGGCAAGATCTTGGTGTGTTTACTATTTTGTCCTACATAGATTTGAGTTCACCAGCATATTGCCATAATATAATGAGGCAAACTGGATCTGATAACCATTATGAGCAAGTAAAAAAATCCTACAATGATTACTGTGGTACTAGCCCTTGAAAAATCATTAATGGATTGAAATTTAAGTTGAGAGATATACCAAAATACACAAAAGAATTTAATATCTTAAAAGGTGGCTCTAATACTTAGCCTTAATTGTCAATGGTAGCTATAAGGGTTAGTTTTACACGTTAACTTGACATAGTCTAGAATCATCTAGGAAGAAAGATTCCAGGAGAAATTGTCTAGATCAGGCTGGTCTGTGGCCCTGTCTGTGGTAGACTGTCTTGATTGCTTTAATCGAGGTGGAAAGATCCACCCACTGTGGGTGGCACCATTCCCTAGATTTATGCCTTGAACTGTATGTATAAAAATAGAGCAAGTCAGCCTAGTAGGACCCACGCATACATTTTTTCTTTCTTTGCCCTGGTCTATGGACATGACTAGCTACTTCAAGCATGTACCTTGACTTCCCTGCAATAATGAGCTGTTACCTGGAACTGTAAACTGAACAAATTTTCTCTCTCTTAAAGCTGATTTTCATCAGTGTATTTTATCACAATAGCAGGAAAGGAAACTAGGACAGTGGCATTTCAAATCAGTATTGTTTGAAAGATGTATTGTTTAATAAATGTTCGTTATGGCTGATTTGATTTCCATCACTGAGTACTGACAGGCGCTTCAGGATCCAGTGAGAACAAAAGTCCAGTTGTCCATTAACCCAGGGATCTTTCTAAGCATTTACTGTGGTCAAGGCTCCATATAAGGCACAGGGCTCAAGGTAAAATTAAATACTCCCCTCCAGAAACCACATTAACCTAGGTTTCTGTTTTTCTATTTTTAATTATTGATGATTTAATTATTATTATAGTCTCCGTATAGGTACCAGAGAACAGTATCCTGCTTTTATGTATGGTAATTCTCTCTAATCCTCCCCATAAAGATTTCTTAATTAACTTGGTGTGGTGGTGCACGCCTTTAATCCCTGCCCTCAGGAGGCAGAGGTAGGTAGATCTCCATGAGATCTGGTCTACATAGCGAGTTTCAGGCCAGCTATGGCTAACAGGGAGACCCTGTCTCAAACAAACAAAAAAATGAACAAAATATCTTAATTATATGAATAAATGTATTTCTGGAAAAAAAAACATTTAAACCCAATATCTTATATTTGCATACATTCCTAACAGATTAAATCCTTAAAAATAGAAAGTATGAAACCTTAAAGTTAACAGATATTATAGGACAATGTTTATGAAAATTTGCAACAGTAAAGGTCTTTCAAAATATGGCATCACCTTCAGAAGTCACTAAATTTGACTCTATCAGAAGTAACAAAAAGAAAATTTCTTTCACTTCTGATTTGTTCCTAGTCTCTGATGGTTTCTTCTTCAAAGAACTTTACTTATTTTTAATAAATACATTCACTGTTTCAAAAGAAACAAAAATAAATTTATTATTTCATGTTAAAGATGACATTGATCTGTATTATGTTTATACCCATCACTTAATACTGGAAGGACATTTTTATTTCTTTAATTTTTTTCTGTTAACAATTTCATTTTATTGTCAGTCTTCCATTCAGCAATCTAAAAGCACCAATTCGCAAAATAAACTCTAACACCCGGGTGGTGGGGCATGAAACAACCTCAAAATAAGCCACCTGCCAAGAAAACCAAACAAATAAAACACCAAATAAAACAAAACCAAGTACTATAGGCACACAATGGTCAAGAAACCTCACAATCCCCTCTAGGCAAAAGTCAGTCAACCTCAGCACCAGGGAAGCTGAGATAGGAGGTGCACTCCAAGTTCCAGGCCAGTCTGGGCTACAGAGTGAGACCCTGTTTCAGTAAAACAAAAACAAAACAAAACACAAAACAAAATAAGAAAAAACAGATGTGTGCACACAGTAGGCAATGCCAGTAATCCCAGCTCTTAGGAGGATCCACAAAATGCAAAGCCATCCTCTGCTGCATAGTGAGTGATGGCTAGCCTGGGCTACCACAGCCTGCCAAGAAAAACAAGTCAAAATCGGAGAAAATTTCAACTGACCACCTCTGCACACTGAACCTGGCCTCCTAGAATTCATCCCCATAGGGTCTAGGGAACACTCTCCCTACACATTCAGAACCCCCAGGGCCTGATTCATTGTCTGTCACTCCATCTCCATCTTGGTCCACAGGTGTCGAAGCAGAGACCAACAGACTCTGGAAGGAAAAGGCAATTTTTAACCCTGCCCAACTTTAACCTTTCAAACAGTATCACTCCCCCAGAATCCAAGAGTGTTTTTATATTTATAAAGGCAAATCAAAATGTAAAAGAACTTCTGCATACTATGTACATTACTCTTCATTTGTGCCTAGAGGCTTTTTATAACTCACAACTGTTTCTTCCAGGATTCAAGGATCCATGCAACATCTCCTGCATTCTATTAACTTTAGCTTATTTCTCATCACTTTACCCAAACTACCTTCCTCCTCTAGCTTTGTGAGCACAAGCCAGAGTGATATCCCAATTCAATTGTGCAGTCCATCTTTGGAACTCGGTTTCCTGCTACTTAGTGAAGGATATGTATTCTCAAAGATTACTGTGTAGTCCTTGAATGTCTTAGCAAAATCTTCATTCATTAAAACAGACGCTCCTGTTATCAAAAAGTCTTTCTGTTTTAGGTCTTGGTGTGCAAAGAGAAATAAAATATAATTCCTGCCCTGATAAAGTCATTTTTGTTGAAGAATCTAACAGACAAATTGAACCCCTGTATGTGTAAAGTATACACAAAGGGCAGGGGAAGGACTTTGTTTTGTGTGGCACAAAGAAATCTATTAAAAGAAAACAGCACTAAAACTAATCAGTACAAGACAACTAGGGATTTGCTGAGTTCAAAAGAGACCCTTCCCTCCAGACAAAGGAACTACCCTGAAGGTATTAGCCTTCTTCCTTAAGTAACTTTAATTTCTTCACTACATTTATTTATTTGGGTGTGCGCATGCACATGCGTGCTACTGAATATGTGTGGAGCTCTGAGAATGATTTTCAGGAGTTCATTCTCTCTTTTCAACATGTGGGTCCCAGGGATCAAACTTAAATCATCAGGCTTAGCGGCAATTGTCAGGTAGCTAAGTCATCCTACAGGGCCCCTTGGGTAACTTTTTTACCTGGATTCTTATATCACTAAACAAATCCATATAATTATATGAAGCTTTGATTTAAATACTCTTAAATTATTTTTACATATTCTTAAACAGTTTCATAATGTATATAATGTATTTTGATCGTAACCCGCCTCCATTCTTCTCTCATGCCCAGTCATTCCTGTTGAACCCATTCTTTTCTTTAGTTCTTCACCTTTGTATCTGTATTATGACCCAGAGTTTAATTAAGGTTGTTTGCATGAGCACAAGTGTGGGGTAAGCAGCATGGACAACTAACCAGCAGTTACATCACTAAAGAAAACGACTGTTGGCAGCTTTAAACTGTGAATAGCTCCTCGGTGAGGGCTGGGACCTCATGAGCCCCTTCACCACCATCCATGGTGGAAAGGTGATGGGCTCAATGTTATACAGGTCTTGTTCCTTAACCATAGTTACTGTGAGTTCACCAGTGCAATGACTATGTCATGCCCAGCATCCATCATAACACTCTATCCCCTTTTCTAGCTCTTACCTTCTCTCTTCACTCCTCTTCCACAATGTTCCCTGAGCTTCGGAGGGGATGATATAGATGTTCAATTTGGGACTTAATACTCAGCAGTCTGGCTAGTTATAAATCTCTGTATTAACAGTTGCCCAGTGCAAAGAGAAGCTTCTCTAACAAAGACTGAGAGGATTTTCCAGAATCCTGAAGCGTCTCACTTAAATTCCATGGATGCAGTTTCTGTGTAAGCACATGGATGACATGTATTCATCTTAATCCCTCTAAAAATGAAACATAAGCATATTACAAAACTGCTAGGACATAGGAAAAATGTCTTAACAACGTGTTAATAAAACATAACAAGGAGATATCTTAATGCTCCAGAAGATGGACTTAAATCTCTTGCCTAAATCATTCCACCTCAGTGTGGAGAACATATCTGAAGATTCAGATCTCTGACGACTAATTAGAATTAAAACACTGAGCCATGGTTAACTGTTTCAAAACGCATCACATTGCTGAGAGTGAACACATCTTGGAATATGTGAGGAATTTCATTAGCTCATTGACCACCCAGAAGATACACATGAATCATATCCCTCCTCATTCTCACTCTCCAGAAGAGGACATTACTTCCTCTTTTCATTCTGGCATTGTACCTGATTAAAACAAGCATTAATCTACTGCACATTCTAGCTCCATCTGAAGCTGTCCTGGAACCACCAGGAAGAGAAACAGGACAGAAAATGACTCTCCTGTGTCATAAGATAACTAGGGACTGAGGTCATACACTATCATAACTAAGTGAAAAATAGAAGAGGTGATTCACGTGCGGAACAGGAAGCGTGAGAAAAGTGAAGTAATTATTGCCTACGTATTGGTAGTTTTTACTAGAAAACTACATATTATTCATTGCATTTGTATCATATACACAAAACAAGGAAACAGTCTTCATAATTCCAGAAATTTCTCAACCTGGGTATAAAAGGGGACATAGAGCAAAGTGATTCCAAAACTTGAAACTCACTCTCTCAGAAACCCACCCAGAACCCCCTCCTCCGACACCATGGTCAGCTCCTGTTGTGGCTCTGTCTGCTCTGAGCAGGGCTGTGGCCAAGACTGCTGCCAGGAGAGCTGCTGCCAGCCCAGCTGCTGCCAGCCCACCTGCTGCAGGACCACCTGCTGCCGGCCCAGCTGCTGTGTGTCCAGCTGCTGCAGGCCCCAGTGCTGCCAGTCTGTGTGCTGCCAACCCAGCTGCAGCCGCCCCAGCTGCTGCCGCCCAACTTGCTGTGTGTCCAGCTGTTGCAGGCCCCAGTGCTGCATCTCCAGCTGCTGCCGTCCCACCTGCTGCCAGCCCAGCTGCTGCATCTCCAGCTGCTGCCAACCTTCCTGTGGCAGTTCCAGCTGCTGTGGCTCCAGCTGCTGCCGTCCCTGCTGCCGCCCCTGCTGCTGCCTGCGCCCAGTCTGTGGTCAAGTCTCCTGCCACACCACTTGCTACCGCCCAACCTGTGTCATCTCTACCTGCCCCCGCCCCATGTGCTGTGCCATCCCTTGCTGCTGAGTGAGACCTTTCTTTGAATCCACTGGGTTCTTTTCACCTCATTTGTTATGAAAACAGAGCTACTGTACCTCACAGCCATCTTAAGAGAGCTCATTCCTGCTACTGTGTGTATCCTGTACCCAGGAGAGCTGTCTTTGTTGATTTTATCCCATGTCAGCCCAAAGTATAAAATTAGATATTAAGAAATTAATATAGAAAAGGGTGAGAGTACCCTGGAGGAGTTAGGGGGTTGGTGAGGAGTGACTATAATCAAAATACTTCCTACGCATGTATGAAGTTCTCAAAGAAATAATTTAAAATATTATATTTTTAAAAGGAAATAGTGTGCAGGTCATCCTGATCCCAACATAGAAATACCCCCAGCACCTGTGGAGTCCAATCATGCCTTCGGACCTGAACATCTCGTGGTGCCATTTTGTATTTCCTTTCACTGTGAGGTTTTTGTACTTCATTGCTGCTACTTCTAAATAAAACTCATTTTACTGGAAAAGAAATGCAATCTTTATCCCTGTTGATTATTGTCTTCAGTTAATATGAAATTAAATACAAAGAACAACTAAATCAAGCTTTTCTAACCCTGCCCTCGCTGTGTCAGAAACATTCCAACACAATGAGTTAAAAATGTAAAGAAGGAAATAATTACAACTGCGGTGAGTTCATGGTTCGTCAGCCCTGTGATGCCCAGAAGATGCTGTTTCACAGCAGTCCTCCTCAGTCTCTGGCTCTTAGAGTGTTTCCACCCCCTTTTCTACAATGTTTCCTGAGCTGCATGCATGAGAGCTTCGTGAGTTAGTGAGCATGTGTGAGTGTGTGTGTGTGTGTGTGTGTGTGTGTGTGTAAGAGACAGAGAGATGGAGAGAGAGAGATTCTTATAGAGCTGAGCACCCACTGTCACTTATTCTCAGTGTTTTGAGCAGCTATGAGTTTGTATTAACTGCTGTCATCCACTACAAATAGAAGCTTCTCTGATGCGGGCTGGGAGCTGCACTACTTTCTTCAGTGATGTAGCTTGCCCGTGTTTCAGTAAATAACCTCCCACCTATACTCATTCCCCTAAAGAAGATCTACTCTCCCTCACCCAATAGTAATCAGTTGCCAATAGTTCTTTGGCTAGCTTTGGGGCCTGCTGCCCATTTCCCTCCTTCTATGCTGGGATTTTGTCTGATTGAGTCAGTGTAGGTCTTGTGCACACTGTCACCATTGTTGCAAGATCTTACGAGCACATTCCCAGCGGCCTGAAAGCCTCTGTTTTCTTATGTTCATGCACCAATCCTGGCTGTTATAATCTTTCTACTCCCTCTTCCACAATCGTCCCTGAGCCTTGGATCGGTGAGTGTTAGTGTAAGAGTCTAATCCAAGGACATACACTCCGTACTCTCTTGTTCTCTAAAACTTAACCGGTTGTGGCCTTCTGTGAGCATTGCACTCTGTTGTATGAGGAAGCTTCCCTGGTGAGAGTTCAGGAGTATATTAATATTCTCCCTACTCCCTGTTTCACTGTGTTCCTTGAGACTTAGGTGTAGAGGTACCACTGTAGATGTGTCACTTAGGGCTGGGCATCTCTCAGAAATATATTTTCCATGTGTGATCAGTGGTGGAACTCTGTGATAGCCTCCAGCTGTTGCAAAAAGAAGCTTCTTTGATGAGTGGTGTACAGTATACTTGTCTGTAAATATAAGGATCCATATTTAGTATACAATAAGAAATTTGATTTGTCTAGATAGATGACAGAGATAGGGATTTCTTTTGGTTCCATTGACCGTTAGCACAATAAGAATCAGACATGATTAGTCACTGAATATGTTTGTCACACTGACCTACTTGGAAAAAGTGATTGTTTAAAAAAAGTTTTCTGGGGAAGGTGTTTTGCAACCTGAAATTTCCCCCCTTTTTCCTTCTGTTTAAAGCTCTCTCTCTCTCTCTCTCTCTCTCTCTCTCTCTCTCTCTCTGCCTCTGTTGACCAGGAGTTCCATGGACCCTCAAACAATACTGGCCATTGCCCCTACTCGTGGTTACCAACCAGAAGTGGATGGTAAGACACTATTGCTGAAGATACTGCATACATGGTCTGTAGACCATGCAAGGAAAATTCAAACTGGTCCTGACTAGAACCTCATCTCCAGTGGCTAGTGGTCATAGTGTTGGAAGGTGTTATACAAGCTACTAGAAGGAAAGAAAAAAATAAGCATCACCCTAACCCAGTGGTGAATCTTGTGAACTATAATAACAACTCATCTGGCAAGATATGCTTACCACTGTAATAGTGGCACAAATATTATGAGTAACTAATCACTCTTTAACTGGATTTAAGAGCCACTTCCTAGGATGGAATCCATACCTGACATTGATATCAGGCTAAGGAACCTGAGATCATACAGATCACAAGACCTAGGGGAGAAGCAAATGCTAGTTTTTTACTAGTTATCGGATTAAACTGACTCTTAATGACTTATTGTCTTACCCATAAATTAATGCGTCTCTCAACTCTCACCAGAGAAGTTTCCTTATGCAACAGATGGTGCTTAACACAGAAACCCACGACTGGCCAATGTACAGAGAACAAGGGGCTGTAAATCACTTATCTCTGAGTGGAACATCTATGTCAAACTTCTGTCTCCCCAGGCTCAGGAATCATTGTGGAAGATGGGACAGAAAAATTGTAAGAGTCAGAGGTGGTGGATGACCACAAAGAAACAAAGTTTTCCAGACAGCTGGTCAGTTACTCAGATGATCTCACAGCAATGGCAATGGTGACAGCATGCATATGTTCCGTGCTAGTACAAACCAGACAAAACCCCAGCATAAACATGAGGAAGTGAGTAAGCAGCTCCAACCCCACCTGAGGAAGCCGTGGTAACAGGTGGCTGCTGGGAGGGGCAGAGACAGTCTCGTTCAAGCATGGGACTCTTGATAGGCTGACCAGGCTCCAGTGGCTGGAACGATGCTGAAGACATTTGGGGACACAAATTAGACTCTATAAACCTTATATATAAATAGCAGAGTACATTAAACTGGGCAGGGGCCACAGGGAAGGTGGAAGTGGGGAGGAGATCTAAATACCATTGCATTATATTGTATGAAATTCACAAAAATTCAATTAAAAATGTAAACAAAATAAAATAATTCTATCAAGGGGCTGGAAAGATGGCTCAGTGGTTCAGAGCACTGACTGCTCTTACAGAGGACCTGGGTTTGATTCCCAGCACCCACAAGGCGGCTATGAACCATCCTTAACTCCAGTTCCAGTGGAATCCAAAGCCCTTTTCTGACCTCCACAGCATTGCATGACACAGGTGCACTCACATACATGCGAGCAATACACTCATACACATAAAATAAAAATAATAAATAAAATATTTTTAAAATAATTATTAAAATAAATCATTTTATTATAGTGGTATTTAAAATGTAAATTACATTGCTAAAATAAATCATGGTTTTATTTTTTAATAAAAAGAAAGCTCTGTATGAAATGTGTAATCTAAGGGTTGTGGAACTGGTATTTAATAAAGTGATACCAAATTACAAATGTCTTTAACGTTCATCAATTCTACTAGAGGAACACCAATTTAAACTGCATAGTGAAATTAATCCTCTGCTACAGGGATCTCCTGGTTCTTGTCTTCTTAAAAGAAGGAATTCAGGGACTAGAGAGGTGGCTCTACAGTTAAAAACACTGGTTTCTCTTGCAGAGATCCCAGGTTCAATTCCCAGCACCTATATGGCACCTAACAACCACCCTTAACTCCAGTTCTCAGGAACCCAACGTCCTCTTCTGATTTCTGTGGGCATTTCACAACACTGGTGCACGTACCTATGTAGGGCATACACTCATATACATAAGATAAAAATAATAAATAAAATATTTTTTTAAAAAGAATTCAGCCAAACGACAATTTGAGCAGAAGTTTATTAAGAAAAGCAAACACTTCAAAGAGAGACTGGAATGGGTTGTCCCAAGGAAGAGAGCAGCTTAGTGGGTTCTTTGCTGTGGTATTTAAAGAAGTTTTTATGAATATTTACGATATGTGTCACATATTCCTAGGGTAAGGTGACCTTTCGTTATCCCAAATCAGAGTGGACCAACTCTTTCTATGGTATCTTTCTATGATCCCCACAAAAGAGGAGGGATGTCAAACCACAGTGCAAGTGACAGCATAACAGCATCAGTCTTTTGAGGGTATAGAGTACACGTCTCATTAGTCAGCCATGTTGGCAAAAGTTCTTTATTTGCAAGGGCCCAAGTAAATGAAAGAATTACTGTGTATTATAAAAATGAAAAGGTGTACTTACAGTAGAAACACCAATAAAGTTAAATTTATAATATATTTTAGGTTTTCTCCCAGAACACCCAAACAACTAACACTTAATAAAGAAGAAGAAATTTTAGTCCCTTTTTATGTTTTTTTTTCCATTGCAATGATAATTCAAAACTTTCCTTATGCCAGATTGTCTCCACTTATATTTGTCATTTTTGCTATGCCATTTGGTTTCTCTCTAGACAGATACATTAGAAGACCCGGTACAGAGGTGGAGGGATGGACAGATGGATCAATGGGATGGGGACACAAATGGATGTATTGGGTCCATGGAAAGAAAGAAGGAGGCACTGGTAGACAAAGGGTGTACAGTCAGACACGTGATGCTTGGTATGGATAGCCTTATGTCTTAAGACTAGGGATATTTTTAAATAACCATAGTACAGAAGTAAAATTAAATTCTGCATTCATACAATACTATTATCTATTATTTTACATACATTCCATATTCAAATGTTGTCACTACCATCTTAAAAAGTAAAATTTATCCTTATACATACATTTCATTTAGATATCATGTCTTTTTGTTTTCCTTAAATCTGAAATATTTCCTCAGCTTGTCTTTCTATTAGAAAGTTCTGATACTGTTAAAGAGAATGAGTCAGTCATTGTGTGGAGAATTCTTCAAACTTTGTTTCTTCATAGTTAAAGTCAGATTACATCTTTGATGAGAGTAACAAA